ATAAGAATATAAAAAGAATTCTTGAAAAGATGAACAAGACCTATAAATAATGGCATTAGAAGTTGTCATTTGCGCTGCATATTTATCAGACATCAACGCATACCTTTACTAGGCAACCCTATTTTTTTTTGTTTATGGGATAAAAATTGTACTGCCAGTAAAAATAAAAATTCCATCCTTGAAGGTTCTAAAGAAAGTTGGGCTGAAATATGCTAAATGCATTCGAGCGCACTATGAGCAATTGAATTTCATTGAAGAAAAGAGATTGACAACGTTATGTCATGGTCAGCTATATCATAAAAGAATGAAGAAAGCTCATGATAAAAAAGTCACCCCTGTTGCTTCCGAAAAAGAGAATTGGTCTTGAAAAAATTCTCCTAAACCAGCATGATAATAGAGGAAAATGGATCCCAAATTGAAAATGACCATATATCATAAAACGAGCTTTCTCGAGTGGAGCATTGATTTTAGCTGAAATAGATGATCTACTTCATCCCATAAATTTTGATGCTGTGAAAAAGTATTATACTTTTAAAAAAAAAACAAATGAAAAAAGAAAGACTCAAATCGAAAACCCCAAAAGAGCGATTGGAGTAAAGAGAGGGTTCATCTAAGTTAAAAACCTGAAGAAGCAACTTAGATGATGAGGATACAACATCGAATTTGGAAATTCACCAGCATGAAAGCTAGCATGTTCTAATGAGCCCTAAGTTAAAGGCATCAGATGGTTGAAATTTTCAAAAAAAACTTCAAGATATGTTATCATAATTTTTTTATTGTTTATTCTGAACGTTGTTAACCTATATTCACTTTTGTAACTCTCTTTTCATATTGTTCAACAGCCAAAGTTATGCTACCATGTTTTTTAATAAGAGATATTTCACTTCATTCTTTGTGTTTTTCTTTTGTTGATTATTTTCAAACCATTCCAATTCTTTTCTCTTTATTATCTTGCAATGCGAGAAATGTGTGATTGCATTTTTACTTTTTGAAATTGAAATAATTATTGATAAATGAATAATAGCATGAAAGATTTCTACATTACCTTAAAAAAGTTAAGAGTGATAAAAGCAAATATGAAATGTTCAATTCCTGATAAGGACATTGAATTTGAAAAAAGATTTCTTTAAAAAGAGAATATAAGAGTTAAATGAGAGGAATGATTAAGAATTACATCAATTTGGTCTTAGTACTTGAAGATTGAAGGGTTTAAGGCCTAAGAAGAGAGCTTGAGAAACTTGAGTACCAAAATTGAAGCAAAATTAATCAACATTGGCATAGCATGCATTTCATTTTTGAATGTTTAGTGCATAGCATGCATTGCATGTGAAAACGTCTAGTGCATGAATTAGGGATATTTCAAGATCCCCATGAAAAGAAAAAATATGAAGACTTTCAAGTGAAAGATTTTCATATTCTCATTTGAAAAAAAAATACTTTTGAAGTAAGATTTTAATTCTTGAAAAAAATTATTTCTCAGTATTATGAACGATTTGTATGGCTTTCAAGCATAATCTTCTAAAATTTCTTCAGACATGATCTATGACTCTTTTGGACATGATTGTCAATAAGCTTTATTTATTTTTCAAAATCGTTAAGCTTTTATTTAGAGAAGCCTTATTTATTTTGCAAAGTTGTTGAGCCCTTATTTAGATAAGCCTTATTTATTTCGCAAAGTTGTTGAGCCTCTACATGAAGGGGCTTTATTTATTTTTCAAAGTCATTGAGCCTATGTTTAGAGGAGCCTTATTTATTTTTCAAAGTTGTTGAGCCTTTATTTAAAGAAGCCTTATTTATTTTTCAAAGTTGTTGAACCTCTATTTAAAGGAGCTTTATTTATTTTTCAAAGTCGTTGAGCATCTGTTTAGACAAGTTTTATTTATTTTTCAAAGTCGTTGAGCCTCTATTTAGATTAGTTTTTATGAAGTCTAAGTATGTTTATAAAAAAACAAAAAACAAAACAAAAAAAATGTGTTAATTCCTATTAGGTTATCTACGTCTTTGCATAATTCTTATTTCACAAAAAATGTGCAAAGAGGAGCACATGTAGATACCTCAATCTGTCTGGGATTCTACTCAATCTGGTTTCTATTAATTAAAAAAATAAATAATGAAAATGAAAAAACTCTGACAAGTTAAATTTGTGCAGGACTATAGGTAAGGAGTTAAAATTAGACTTAAAATCTAAAGTTAAAATTAAAATGGGATTAAATTCTTTTCTAGTATAGGATTCTTTTGATCAAAACCTTATAAATACAAACCCAAATCACACACAAATCACACAGATCAAAAAATCAGAGAGACAAGTCACACAAAAAAGCAGAAAATAATCAAGAAAATTTTTTAAAGATTTTTAAGGTTCTAAAAAAAAAAGAGATTTTTTTTTTAAATCTAAAAAATTCTCAGATTCGAACGACTGTTTTCAATTTTTGGTGAATTTTTTTGCGTCGGTTGAATTTTTCGACACGTTTTCTAGAATCCAATTAAAGATTCTGACGACGTTTGAATTTTTCGACAAACATCCGATGAACCAACCCAGATTCCGATAAAATTTTTCAGAATTCGACAAAGATTCAACCGGAGTTCATCGGGGTTTAGATAGAGATGGAGAGAAAAAAAAAAAGAAAAAAGAGGAGAAAGAGAGATCTGAGGAAAAAAAAGGGTTTTCTACCTTTTATACCCTCTAAAAATGATGTCGTTTCATCATAAAAAGCCCCCAAGATCTGCCCATTTTCACTCAAGCCAACCCGACCCAAGCACAACTTATTGCGCCAACCCGCATCCTAACCAAACCCTTCAGCCGAGCCGAGTCGTCGAGCTACTTTCTGTGCCTATAGCTGAACCGCACCAAGCCACTTTAGCTATGCCGTTTCTGTTTTTTTTTATTTTATTTAATTATTTATTTATGTGTTTGTTTATATTTAAAGGTATTTTTACATGATTAAATTTAGAAAAAAATAAAATAAAATATTTTTTAAGAATAAATACTAATTATCTAATGATGAAATTTTTAAAAATTTTAAATGATAAATTTTTATAAAATTCTTAGGTGAAATATTTTTTCTAAATTTGGCCTAAATAGTAGAATAATCAAAATAAAATTTCAATAACAATAATTAATATTTATTTTCAAACAAAAAAAGAGAAAGAATAATAATAAGTTAAAATAAAATTTTGGTTGAAAATATTTGTAATTACCCAATAATGAGATTCTTAAAAATTTCAAATGATAAATTTTTAAGAAATCTCTAAATGATAAGTTTTTTTAAATTTGTCCCGAATAGTAGAAGAATTTAAATGAAATTTCAAAAAAAATAATTATCATATTATTTTTTTTCCAAAAAAAAACCAAAGAAATAAAAAATTTTCTATATAGACCCAAATGGTGGAGAATTTAAAAATTCAAAAGAGAAAATATTTCTAATTTGGCTCAAATTGCATAATAATTAGATATATTTTTAATAAACAAAAACCAAAAAAATAAAACTAAAAAAAATAATTAAATCTTTTTCTGACGATGAAAGCTCTTCAAGAAAACAAATGAAATTATTAAATACTCTTGAGGTAAAAATAGTTTTAAAAATTTTATCAGATTGATGAAAATCTTAAAAGTTATTTTCAATATTTAATATTAAGATTTAAAACTGTAAGAGTCAAGACCTCAGAATAAATTTAAAATAAAATGATACCATCATTTAGATTGGCATGTAGGGATGCTATAAATTTTTTATGTGCAATCAAACTCCCAAACCATATTTTGCTTAGTAGACTCGAATCTATTCTTTTAAAAACCCTTAGTCAAGTTTAAAAATTCTTTAAAAGGATAAATTCATTAGATAATCAATCACACTTAGATAAAAAAAATTGGTGACAACTCCATTTGTTAAGTCTAATTATAGATTTTTGAATCTATATGTTATGACACTAATAATTCGTGTATTTGTATTATGTTTTACATGAAAATTGCTTGTTATAATTGTGCCAACACAAAATATATTTTTTTTGTTTTATTAAATCCATATATGATTTTTAACTAAAATTTTAAATCATGTCACCTTCATGTTTTTTTTTTTTTGTATCATTTTCGTGCCATATCATTGTGTATATTTTAGATTGCCAAGACCCTCTCTTTTTTTGGATCAAAATTATCTCTAAATTAAATTACTTAATTATCCTTTTTCATCCCAATTTTAAAAGTCTCCGAATATACGTGTTGAGTAAAATTTTATAACTTATCGTATACGTATATCTAATAAGTTATTTAACCAATCCTAAAAAAAAAAAAAAAAAAAAAAAAAAAAAAAAAAAAAAAACCATAACTAGCATTTGCTAAAGAGTTACAGTTAGGGTTTAAAGTTTAAAGTTTCAAACAAAATCAATCTCATCAATATCATCTCAATCTAACAAAGGAATTTTTATTTAATTTTTTGGGATTTCAACAAAACCCAAAAATTTAATTGAGAAAAAAAATCTCATATCATGAAGAATTTCCACAATCTATAGGACGGAAACAACCAATGCTCCTAATGAGATTCCTAAGCCACCTAAATAATGTTCCTAATGAAAGTTCAGAAACTTTCAAAAGCTTCCGGATATGCAAATATGAGAACTTTTAAAAGCTTCTGGATTTGCAAATTTGGACACTTTTAAAAAGTGAAAAGAGCTTAAAGGTAGTTTAAGAAAGGGTAATTAAGTAATTTCAGTAAAAATAATTTAAAAAAAAAAAATGGTCGTGTGGAGAGCATTTGTAGGGTGTAGGGTTGCAAATAGAAGCTCTCAAAATTGAATTTCTTTTGTATGGGGTGAAGCTAGGGGTTTCAAAAATACTAAGTTCGAGAGCCCGGCTACATTTCTGTCATGTGACCATTGCCACTTGTTTCTGCTGTTGCTTTAGCAAAAGCATCGTCTAATACCCTCTAGCCTGTTTCTTTTTTCTAGCTGCATTTAAAAATTGCACAAAATTGTTGCAATGAACAAAAATCACAAGGTAGTTTACTTACTGGTGGAGCTCTAGGCGCCATTTGAAAGTTAAATCGTCGAACAAGCATTGCAACTGCTACAACAGTCTGTAGATCAAAATAACTCTACTTCAGATTCCATAACACCAATCACTAGTGGCTCAAGGAACAGAATTTGTCAGCCCAGATGTTTCAACTAGAACAAATACACATGCAACCCAATACACAAAATTAGCAACAAACAAGTTTTTGTACTGACTGAATTTTTCACACATATCTTTTGATAAAAATACCTCAAAAGATGCGAACATGTCTCCTACACATTTACGAGGTCCTCCACCAAAAGGCAAGTAACTGAGTGAGACGAGAGTTAATATCAGTGATTTGTAGTTGAAGGAAAAATATAAGAGTAACTGAAACAAGGGGCAAGTAACTGATTGAGACAACATATTAAACTGTACCTTAGCTTGACTAAATAGTGCAGTTATCTAAGCTAAATGGTGACCATATGATTAATAAGGAGAATAAAAATTAGGGTTGAAAACACTAAGGTAAAAGAGTGGGTTTTGTCACCTTTAAAGTTATTGATAAACCTAACAAATGCATCAGGCAAACACAACAGTTCCCTAAAAGCCTGAGGAAATAAAGGACCCAGAGCCAAAAAGCTCTTAATACCATGTTTTAATTAATGTGCCAGTAGTTTCTGCTTTATTATTTTTTTTGGGATACACAGTTAAACCTTGCCTCTTTTCTAACAGAAAGTGTGACTTCTGGATATTTAGACTTCCTTTTGATTTACAGGCAACTTAGCCTTTAGTAATTCAAATGCGCACGTGTTACACATTTGAACATACACATGCATATCCTAATTGTAAGAATTTTGATAAAATAATTAAATACTGTATTCAGATATTTCAGTTCTAGGATTCTGGAATCAGACCTCAAATACAGTGGTAACAAAACCAGCCACAGAATTTCCGGACACACTTTTCATTTTTCCAAACTACATCTTAAATTTTTAATTAACAATAATAAATAGAAATCAGAAGAAACTCATTGCCATCTCATCTACAAGCATAATTGACACAATAAGAAAAGTTGTAGTTATTTATTACCAGAAATTTTGGTTTGTTTCATTAGGATTCGGTCCATTTAAAGGCCACCTTTCAGGGTTGAACTTCTCAGGATCTTGCCAGAGACTTGGACTACGGTGTAGATTCCAAATTGATATAAAAATATCTTCACCCCTAAAAGTAAAATATATGATAAAGTCAAGAATTCAGAAAAAAAAAAAAAAAAGGATCAGTAAAGTCAAACATATCATAGCAATTGCATGTAAAGCTCATGATAAAGCAACAATATACACATAAGAGATATCCATATAAGCAAAAAACCAGTTACCCCAGAGTTCCCCACCCCCACATGCTTTCTAGCAGAAACTCATACATAGAGACAAATATTTATAACAGATGAAGCAAAGGAAGTGCAAGTCCAGAATGAAAGCTTCTAAAATCAAATTATAAACAGCTCCTAATGATCAGAAAATGTTTTAAAATTTCAATATCATTTCGATAATCTTACAACAAACTTATAGACATATAAGATAATATGCTTATTCATATGTCCAAATTTGTAAAGGTAATCTGGTAATAATCAGGTAATAAACATTGCTAAATCCATTTAATCTATACCTACAAGTTTTATATTTATTGATTTGACCAAACAACCACATCTTCTCCCACCATTAAGTTATCAAAAAAAAGACCAAGAAGTGATTTTTCAAAGATGGTTTTGAATGGTGTATACTAACTGGCCAATAGGTTGATAATGATATTGATTTTAGGGGTTTGACCTTTTTATCGGGTACTTTCCAAGCACATCATCCTCAAGAGAACGACGAATTAAGACAGGTGGCTGTGGATAGAGCCTCAAAGACTGCATAAAGGTTAGACAGAATCATCTCTATATGAGATTCATTAATGCAAAATATTTGATGAACAATGAAAGGGAATAGAACAAATTCTCTTACTTCATTAATAACCCGAGTTGTATACTTGAGTTTCTTCATGTCGTCTACTGTTGGAAATCGATCTCCTAGAACAGAATCAACCTAGAAAGTTTGATGCAATAATAAATAAGAAAAAGAGATTGTAAGATTTATATAGAATTGAAAGCTTAGACTAGCCTTTTTTATACCAGTATTGCACAAAAATTTTAAATATACCTCGTCCTGGAGCTTGGATACAACACTAGGTTCCTGCAACCATCAGGAAGAAAGAACAAATGAGAACTTGAAATGAGTTGCCATTCAACCATGATATTTGCTTAAAGTCTGTGAGAACAATGACTAATACGAGATCCTTTTTCCTCGAAACAAACATCAATTTGCCACACTCCAAAAGCAATCCAGTAGGCATAACTCAAAACCCTACTATTTGTCGCTAAATAAAGCAATCTTGGCATAGGATGGGTGGTATATTATTTATTCTAGCTGTACAACCAATCACAAGTATAAGGGATACCATAACATCAACCTAAACAAAACCCTAGGGTACTGCATGACCAGTTCTTCTACACATTAACAGCAAGGAGAAAAGCATGAGGAAACAAACATGCAGTACCATATAGAAGATTGTCATATGTTTTTCCTGCCTATTGGAGTAAGTCTTGAATTTAGTTTCTTTCAGACCCAATGAAAAAATGGCACATGCCTTGTCACTAGTTTAGCAGAAGCAAAACAATTATTGCATTCTTGTTACTCTAATGAACTGCAAATAATTAGAGTGCTTTGGTATGATTAGTTTATTAGAACAAGGTTCCGAAAGACTATAGGTCATACAGAATCTGTGTGCCATCTCTCCAGTGAATGTTGATTAGTATAGATCAAACCGAGTAAATCCTTATGTCTTTGTGTTTTGTAATTCTTGCTGCATTAATTCTTTGCCACAGAAATCCACATTTTACCTATATATATTAAGTTGTTACAAGAAGTATTTAATGATAAAAGCACATAAATTAGTACCAAAAGTATTTTATATGTGCAGACCACAAACAAGAACTAAAACATCAGAAGAAAGGGGAATTAACTACTTTCTCTAGAAGAACTAATCTTTGAATTACCTTTGATAAAAGATAGAAGGTCCATGTCAAAACAGCAGCTGATGTTTCATGTCCAGCAATAAGCATTGTCATTAAATCATCACGGAGTTGCTTACTAGAAACCTGCAAAAAGATTCAAGGAAATCTTAGATCTCATACATGAGCTGCTAATTCACACATTTGATAACTATAAATACATACATCATCTCCCGATGCCAGTAGGAAGTGGAGAATACTAGGATCTTGTTCATTCATGTACTCGTCATGAAATTGTAGCTCTTCTTCTTCTACCATCCTCTTAAAAATTGCAGATTTTAAATTTAAAGAACAAAAGAAAACGTTTAATCAAGTCAGTGAAAAGATTAATAACCGTGTGATACACATACTAATATGTAAAAATCCAGCAACTAAACAATTATATTAAACCGCAAATGAAACTTTTAATCTTACACAGATATATTACAAAGGAGCAGAGTACCGATACCAAATTAAGAAAATATCCAGATCCCAGTATAGATGACAACTGTGAATGAGTTTCAGATAAATTTGTAGCAAATTTCACTTAGTTTAACAAATACAAAAGCAGCATATTTGTAGAATTAATAATAAATACAATTCTTTCAAATTCAAAGATTATGACGCTGCTCTGTCCCATTGAAAGGAAAGAAAAGCTGGGGACCTATTTAGTGAATATCATCAGCATAGGGCTTCTACTGATTTGGCGTCATGCTTGCTACTCTAGCATAAAACCAAACCCGCTAATTATTCAAATGGGCTTGTTTACTATCAACATACAAACTATGCATCTCCAATAAAATGCCAAGAATGATCTATTAAGGTCTGACATTCCCTATCTATATGTGAGGATATTTCCAGTGCTTGATATTGCTGCAAAAAATTATGCATGCACCATATGTGATGTGTGATACATCAAAATACATGTCACACATTAACATATATCATTCAATATACACAGTGATTATAGAGGACATTAATGTAGAAAGCACAATATTATCTCACTACATAACTGATAAATTTACCTTGCAAGTCACAATCAGATCATCTAGTACATTATTAATCAATTTGAGGGCTTCTGCAACCTTCCTTTGTCGTGGTGAAATGTCTTTCCAAATAGGGATCTCCCAGATTGGAATTGGGGAGACACTTCGATCTTCTGCTTCACGCAAAACGGTGTAAACAGCCTGTCCTAGCCAAAATACCAACAACTATTTCAGATGGTTTTAACAAAAATGTAAATGAAACTCAGTAGCAACAGCATACAAAAAGTGCCAGCCAAAATGAGAATAAGGAAGGAAAATACCTCAACTATGCCAGTGTCATTTGTTAATGAATCAAAATCATAATTAAATACTGCCTTGCCAATAATGTCCAATGTCAAATGAGAGAAAAGTGATTCCATTTCTACATCTTCCCCATCAGTTGCAGCATCATCTAATTTCCGGCAAAGCCTATCAGTTGCTTGTCCAAATAGGTTTATCATAGCTGCTACATACTAAACATGAAAAAAAAAAAAAAAAAGCAATAACTTGATTCAGTTGAAAAAATTCTTGAAAAGGTACACCTCACATCTAATGATTTTGAATGATTTTCAACCATAGTTAACTAATATTCTTTTACTTTATCACTTTTTCTTGGACTAAATTTGCTGCTAGTAGTTCCACCCACCGCTATGTCATTTTACGTGATTATCCAAAAATCCCTTAATAACCCTTATTTTCTGTTATGTAAGTCAAGATGCTTATATTCTTTTTCATTTCCCTTTTTAATCTGTGAATTATGACTCTAACTATTAAAAACTCGGAAATTTCCATACATAGTTCAAGCACATACTACAAAGGCACTAAGACTTGACACACATTCTCAGCAGAAAAATGGCATAGTATAAATTTTCTCACTTTACATGAATCAAAAGTCATAACAAGGGGATAACATGCAATATACTTATATAAATAACAAAACGATTTTCTTTGTTAATAACATTGGATCCATAAATTAAAAACAACACCTTTTGATGTAGTGCTGGGACTATAGCACGTCTTCTAATGCGCCATATCTCACCATCAGCTGGGATGAGTCCCTTCCCCATTACAAATTCCAAAATTTCTGCCAATATGCCCTTCAGATTAAAGAGGACAAAAGATGAGACAAATGATAAAGCAATATTAGCCCATCCAATACACAGGAAAACAAAAAAGACAAATACGGTTTACCTTTGAATAAGACTTTGAGTTGTCCCTCAATATATGCTTAACAATGGAAGGATCAGAAACAATCAAAAACGACTGCAGCAATATCCCCAAATGATCAGCAGGAAATTCGCAATTATCATAGACAACAATATCTACTAGACAACGTTTAAGTTAAAAAGAAAAAGGACCCACAAACCTTTGGTCCAAAGGTCAGCCTGAAAATCCCACCGTAAGTGAGATAAAGCTCATATAAAGGGAGGAAGAAGGCCTCACTCCGGATTGCCTTTATCGCTCCTTTCGCCTCTGGAATCTTAGGAAAATCTTCAACATCATCAACCCATTTAAATAAGATTTCAAGTACCTCACCAGGAACACCAAGTTTCGACAAACCGTTCCTCAGTAGAGAGGGAAAACTTGTTCCCATAAACAGAAAGACATAAGAACAAGCAAATTTTTTGAAATTATGAAATAAAAAATACAAAATCAGGAACAGAAAATAAACTAAAAAGAATATATAGCATTCATCAACATAAATATAATTAAGCCGATCCACATGAGATGGAAGATAACAAAAGAATTTAAGAACACCGAGATGATTCTTACCACAATTAATTGAAATTTAAGAGAATAAAGAAAAATGCCAAGATCCTTTTTTGTTTGATGAAAAATAAAAGATACCCAAAAGTTTATTAACCATCACAATCACAATTAAAGGGTAAGAAAAAAGCAAAAACAAAAGAAAAATGGCAACAAAAATGAAAAGACCAAATACCCAGATTTCTGGACAGTGAATTCTCCAGAAGCAATCCTGGCAGATAACTCGGCCCGGCGTTTTTCTTCAAGTAAACGTTCCACACTTTTAACACCATTGTCAACTGATTCAGGCTCTCTACCATTAGATGATGACCCACATTTCACTATTCCAAACTTAGATGTCCCTGAAAAGTACCATAAAACAAGCAAAAAGAAGCTTAAAAATAAATTTTAAAAAAGAAACAAATAACCAGGAAAAAATGCTAAAGTTTAAACATACCATAAGGTTTTAAAGGAAAAGCTGTGGATTTGCGTTTGGTTGAATGAAGCTGAAGAAGAGGGAAAGATGAAGTGGCAGCCATAATTTGCCAATGAAATTTGTTGTTTGTATTTTTGTCTTTTGGACGAGATAAATATATCGGTATATACAAGAAATGGAAGTGAAATGTGGCCTACCATCCAACTTTCCAGCTCTTTCTTATGTCTTAACCGCTGAAAAACAGGGAGCAGCAACTGGGGAATCCTTTAAACAGTGTACAGCAATGGATAACGTTGATACCGCTTCATCGAATCAACATTTTACACTCCACAAACCGAATATTCTATGACGGATAAGATTCTCGTCATTATTAAAGATTATTGGCTGATCTTTTAAAAATTAATCTAAGATTATAAATAATTCACATCATCCTTCTATTTAATTAATTAAAAGTCTGCGTTTCATTAAACTTATACCGATTTAACATTGTTTTACTAGAACTCTCTACCGTCTTCTTTCAAATGCACTTATTTTTTTCATTTCTTCAACATGCTTTATCTTTAATTTGCAAAATTTTATCATGTTTGGTGAGAGAGCATTTTAATTTTCAAATTTTTAAAGTCTTTGACGAGAAAAGCTTTTTTAGTTTCAAAACTTCACAATCTCTTATGAAAAAAAAAATTTTAATTTTTAAAATTTCGCAACTTTGAAGGGAGCATTGTAAATTTCTACAATTTTAAAACCTTTGGAAATATTTTAAATTTTCAAAACTTTTGGTAAGATAAGCATTTTAATTTTTAAAATTTCAAAACTTATAGTGAAATGAGTTTTTTAATTTTTTTAAAAGTTTCAAAACTTATAGAGAATGAAATATTTTAAATTTTTTAAGTTTCAAAACCTCTTATGATGAGAATATTTTAAATATTTCAAAGTTTTAAGACCACTGTTGAAAAGGAGTATTTCAGATTTTTTAAAATTTTCAAGCTTTAAAGTTGTTGGTAAAAGGAGCATTTTAGATTTTTAAAAGTTTCAAAACCTCTGTTGATAGAAGCTTTTCAATTTTTTTAAATCCAAACCAAATAGATTGTCTTTTTTTTTTTTTGTTCAATTCCTGCTTCACTCAAAATATATAAAAAAAACAGCTATACATACTCTATTTTGTCCAAAAAAAAATTTCAGTATCAAACAGGCCTTAAATTTTTATGAGAAGCAAAATTGTAATTGGGCTTTAATTGAAAAATTAAATTTTTGATCCAACTATTAAAAGCCCAAACGTATATTATTATTTTTATTAGTTTTACTTTTATTATTATTTTTTATTTATTATTTCTTTTTTTTAGTTAAAAGGTTGAAAATGTTGAAAAGTCAAAAATAATAATAAAAAAAGTAAAAAAAATGTGGGATTTTTTTTTTTTGAGAAAGATAGCTTTTAGATTTGGTTTTAGATCCGGTTGAAAATTGAAATTTAAAGATTAATTGCTTATGGAAATATTTGGGTCTCAATTCATAAAAAAAGAAAATCATAGAAAAAAAAATGAATCTTGAAAATCTTTGGTAGATTCAATGAGATTAATGCTTGTTTAAATTGAAATGGATGTAATCCCGATAAAAAGATCCTAAATTTGTAATCACAAGACACAAGCAATACACAAAAACAATTAGCAGGAAACAAGCAATAAGCAATAGATAAGTAGTATAGTACGTAATATAGCAACTCAAGCCAAAATTTTTTTGGGTTTTTTATTATGGGTTCTAGGAAATTGGTTAAAAGTTTTAGTGTTCTTAAAGGTTGTTTAAGGTTTTGATTTTTTGATTCTTGGTCTTTTAGTTTGATTTTTGGAATAGGGTTTTAAAATTTAGTTTCAGTTCAAACCTTTTGAAAGCTAGGTTTTTTTTATTTTTTTGGGATTTTCTTGAATTTCTGGGTTTTGTTTAGTTTTATGGGATTTTTCTGGGTTTTTGGCTTGAATTTTTTGACAATGTTTGATTTTTCTAATGGGTTTCACAGTAGTCAAAGAGTTTCACAGTGGTTAATTTATAAGTTTCTAGGAAATTATGGGTTTGGTTTGAATTTTTCGACATCATTTGAATTTTTTAGTTCCAAAATAGGTGAATTCGATCAATTTCTAGGAATTTTTAGTTTTTCATTAAAAATTCTAAAGAGAAAAAAAAAAAAAGAAAACTAAAGCTAAAAAGAGAATGAGAAAGGGGAGTCTAAAAACAGAAGTTGATTTTTTACCTTATATACAAGTGTAAAACGATATCATTTGAAAGCTTATAGGATTGGCATATGACCCACGTGTCAACCCGTAACCAAACCAAATCGTAGTTTTTTTTTTATTTTGTTTTATTTTTTTATGTTTTATTTTTTATTTTTCATATTATTTTATTTTATTTTTCTTATTTATTATCTTTCTAAGTAATTGAATTAAAGTGATGAGGAAAAAGAAAAAAAAAAAAAAACTATGGTAAGCTTTATATGCTATAATTTATATAGTTTTATTTGCATGATATTTATGATATTTTTGCATGAATGATTATAATATATTTGCATGATATTTTGCATGAATTTAATTTTATTTATTTGCATGATTTATTACATAATATTTTGCATGAATTTTTATTACATTAATTTGCTAGCATAATATTTTTGCATATTTTTTATATTTATTGCATGATTTCCTAGCATGATTTTTTTGTATGATATTTGTATTTTGGCATGAATTTATTTTCATATTTGCATGATTTAGTTTGTATGTTTTAATTTTTAATATTATTGCATGATATGCATGATTTTTCTTTGATATTTTGATAGAATTTTGGTATGACAATATTTTGTAAATAAATAAAAGGAATTGAAATTAAAATTTGATAAGATATTTAATAAATCCAACGATAGAACGTTTTCAATTGAACAACAAGTTTATCTTGAATACTTTTGTGGTGAAGAAAATCTCTTTTTAGTGAAAGTCTAAAGACTTTTTTTCAATGTTTAAATATCAAAATTAATAAAAAAAAATCTTTGATTAAAGCTTAGACAAGATAATATGTGATTAACTTGTTACCAATTTTGAGCATAATAGGGTGCTAATGCTTTCTCTGCACATAATTGACTTCAGAATTTAGTTCTATTCATGTAGATCAAAACCTATTTTTTTTAGGGACCCTTAGTTCTAGCTGAAGATAACCTTAAAATGATAGATTCACATAAGTAACCAATCATACCTAGATAAAAAAGAATTGTGGTAACTGCAGACACCCCATTTTGTTCGAGGATTTTTCAAAATTCATTAGGCTTCAAATTTTAATTTTGATTGTGCAATTAAGCCTTAATTAGAAATGTGAATTTTAGGCCCAAAGATTAAGCTCAAATTTTGTTTGTATTTTAATTTTTTAGTTTAATTTTTGGTTTTTTTTTTAGTCAAAAGAGTCAAAGTCAATTGGTAAAAAATAAAAAAAATAATGGGAAAAAAAGAAAAATATGAGATTTTGCATGAAAAATCTTGGATTCAACCTAACTCTTAGATTCTATCTCAAATTTTAACTTTAATGGTTGAATAATTTTGGAAATACTTAGGGTTTAATCTATTAAAAAATGGAAGATTACATAGAGAATAAAATTTAGAGTGAAATCCTAGATTCTGTTAAATTAATTTCTTCCAAATCAAAAGGGATTCAATCCCTATATAAGGACCTTAAATCTAAGATTAAAAAGAGAGGTTAACAAGAATCACTTTAAGATCAAATAGAGATCATTGAAAAAAGAAAAAAATTGGACAAAGTTTTGAATTAACAAGGAAGAAGCAATCAAACAAAAAAATTTTGCAAAAAGATCCAGTTTGAGTTTTTGAAAGCAAGGCTAAGATTTATAGTATGAAGCACTAGTTTTTGAAAGGTGAAATTTGTTGGAACCCATGATATATTGAGATAATGTTTGTTTTCTTTTTTTTTTGTGATTTTTGCATAACTTTTATATATTTAATTGCATATTTTGCATGGTTTATACATTATTATTTACATGATTGCATGAATTATATATTATTATTTGCATGATTATATATATAATTACATGTTTATTTGCATGATTTATGTATTATTAGTTATATGATTATATATTTAATTGTATATTTATTTGCATGATTTATATATTTTTATTTGTATGATTATATATTTAACTGCTTGTTTATTTGCATGATTTACATTGTTAATTGCATAATTATATATATTTAATTGCATATCTATTTGTATGATTATTAATTTATTTATTTGTGTGATTGTATGATTATTAATGTATTTATTTGCATAGCTATTGCATAATATGATATTATATGTTATTGCATGATTAATATTATATTTGAATGATATTTAATTACATATTTCTATATTTGTTGTGTGCATAATTACATGATTATACATAATATATCTATGTGATTATATTTGATTTCATAATTATATATTTGCATGAATGGTTATTAATATATTTGTGTGGTATTTTATATTATTGCATGATAATATATTTATATGATTGTTATTGTTGCATGATAATTAATATATTTGTATGACATTCTTGCATGAATATTTTAATATGATCTAGGCATGATATTATTATATGATATTCGGTATGATTTATAATATATTTGCATAATAATTTTGGCATGGTATAATTTGATATTTATTGCATGATTGCTTGATATTTTTATAAAATTTTTGTGTCACCATATTTTGTAAATAAATAAAATGATTGGAATTGATTTTGGTTTGCATGATAAAACCATTTTTGATTAAGGCTTAGGTAACATAACAAATAATTAACTTTGTACCAATTTTGGGTGTAAAAGGGTGCTAATATCTTCCCAGCGCATAACCGACTCTCAAACCTTAGTTTTGTTAATGTAAACCACAAACTATTTTTTTTAGAGACCTTTAGCTTAGGCTTAGAATCACCTTTAAAAAGATAGACTCATATAGGTGGTCAATTACACTTAGCTAAAAAAGATTGGTGGCAACTTCATAATTTTTATATCTAATGAGTAGGTTCTCCCAACCTAGACACTGTGACAGTGACCCCATGATTTTTGTATCTAATAAGTAGGTTCTCGGACTTGAACATTATGACAAAGCCCAAATATGATCCTTTCAACCTCCAATATCTGATTTCAACCTCTTTTTTTCCTGAAACATTCTTGAAATCCTAGATCTGAGCTAAAACTTCTTGGTTTGAACCCCTAAATAACCTCCTTTTGTCATGCAGACCTAGGCCAATTCCTACTATGTGCCTCTCATAATCTTAAGCCTTTTTATCTATTAAAGGCCACATCCCAAAAACCTCCTCCAACAATAAAATTGAAGCTTCTTTTTTTGTGTATGTTAATTCTCGGCGTTGGTTCCCTACCCTCAATGGATGTGTTTTTTGGTTTTGT